ACATCACTTTGATGTGTACATGTACTTGTTTAAAGGGTTAATAAGCAAGACAAATTTACTTGTAATGTCCTATGACACCCCAAAGTTTGCTGTTCTAGTGTAAAGGCTTCCAATATCCGAGGCTTTCTTTGAGAGCTAGGGGCCAGGAATTTTGCTTGGCTACATGTATAAGAAAGTGTGATTCCTGTCTAATTTTTCATTTTTCTCTATACTTCAAAAATCAGTTGGCTAGACCTGATTGGTGTTATTGGTAACAATTCATTACTTTTTTTCATGTGCATGTTTAGCGTGGCAAAGTACCAGGATCTTCTATGGGTCGACCTACAACTGGGATTGCGGTAAGAAATTGATTTTTTTTGTTATCTAGTACATAATACTCTGTAATACTGTTTTGTGATCTGGTATACAGTGTGATCGAATTATTCTAAAGCCATTCCAATATTATTTTATGCACACCTGCAAAATGCTTCTTCATTATTAATATGGTTGTTCAGTCTACCTTATGTTAAATGCCGTAGTGTCCTTGTTGTTGTTAGGATACAGGAACAGCCCGCCCTATGACAGCAATTCGTGGAGTTGGTTATGCATCATCAGAAAGTAAGGAATTCATTACTTTATGATTTGCCGTTTTAGTAGAAGTATAATTTTGTTAACCAAAGTTAAAGTTAAAGCAATATTTTACCTTGTTTGTTGTTGCTGGAACTAAAATAGACCTATTATTTCTTCCAGATACATGAGTTTTCAATACTATTTAGTTGAAATCTTAATACACAAATCACTTAACATTTAGATTATTGTACTTTGTTTGCCATCCCTCAGTGGAAGAAAACATATAATAGTTTATATTTATATTTTTTGTGCTGTGGTAGTTTGTTCACTGTAAAATAGATTCAGAGATTGTATAACTCACTCAGACTGAGTAAGTCCTTACTAGCTATTGTTTTGCTTTGCTAGTTCCACTACAACCCTGAGCAAAATAGTTGAAGTACTTACTCCATTGCCCCCACCTCCCCCTTCTCAAAGTTGAAAATCATTGAAGCTTTCCCAAACTTCACTTTTTAACAACACTGCACAGGGGCAGGGGGACTGTACTGTGCATGCCCCCAAATCGGAATTGTTCCAAGTTTTTTCGACCAGGATTGTAGGTGAGGTGTAACATTCAGACAATAGAGCGATTTTGATATCTTAAAATTCAGCATGATAGTGAGTCTTAGAGGACAAACGAACAAAATATTGAAAGTGGCCTTAATTTTTTTATTCTTCTATTACCCTACAGTTTGTTACACTGATGCACTTCTTGTTACTTTCATTGATGCACTTGAGTTCTAAGCATTGTTATTGCTTTAATTTCTATGCATTTTGACAGGAAATACAATGACTGGAAGTGGTCAGTTTGATCCCTTTAATCAGGCACGTCTACCTGCCCCACCTCTTGAAGGAAAGGGTGAAGAAAGGTAAAACTCTGCCATTATATTCTCAGAATGAAAGAATGATTATCTAAATATTGTTTTTTC